CTAACAAGATTAACGCCAATTTATACCAACTCACTGATCTCGACCAACTGCTATTTAGATCTCTAGGATTGAATTATAACCACTGAAATTTTACTTTTACATTAATAACGTATTGTAGAGTTACACAAAACGCTTCAGTGTACAGAAGGCTAGGTTGTTTCTGTTACATGCTTACACGAAGAGCACAATGATGTGTTTAAAAAAAATACGCTAAAAAATGAACGCCAACACATATTAATGTTATAATGATGTTGGTCACATTTTGAGTGCCTTCCAATTATAGGTGTAAATTATATACAGGTTCTGTCCAATCATAATCATCATCAACCAGCAGACGTCTGCTGTTGAACATAGGCTTCCCAAAAGCTCGGCTTTATGATCGGTCCTGCTGCTTCTAGCAGATTCTCGTGAATTTTAGCAGGCTGTCGATCCATGACCAAAGTAAGACTAAGAAGCATAACTACATACAAAGTAAGACTAAGAAGCATAACTACATACAAAGTAAGATTAAGAAGCATAACTACTAAGAATTAAGAAAATATAAATGTCAAATTGACACACACTATTCATAAATTACATCAAAAACAGCCTAATGGAGGGGTATCGAAGTAACAGTCATTCATTCATTAATGAATCGTTGCATAAAAAAAATACATCGCAATGAACTAACAGGAAACAAGACTAACAAGATTCACGTCTCGCAAAATTCACATCGCCTTGATAAGACACAATAAAACCTAACCTAATTTCTTTCAAAGAGATGTGAAAAATTTTTCACCACAATAATGAAAATTGAGTTAGTAAATTGACCGTACCAATAATGGTGACCTCGTGTAATTAAGTCATTCAGTGCCAGACAGACGGACAGACCCATGGGAACCGGTGGGCAGCCGTTCACACGGATGAATCATGCATATCGTATTACTGTGTCATTTTAAATTGATCTATTGTTATGTAAAAAAAAACGTAATTTTCGTTTTCGAATGTTTGAACGCAACGAAATTTTTGTTTCGTAATCATTTTACTTTGACACTAATAATGGAAAAGTGCCCGGATCTGTCTTAGTTATAACGGCTCGTGACTTAATGGAAATTGAGAATTTAAAAAAAACCGCAATTTTTATTCCCTTTTTAGTTGGATACCAATATGATAATGGCCTCAATGAATGCATGCAAATACGGCAATAACCCTGTTCGTTATTATTTCAAGACACTAACTGATTTTGACGAAATTCAGTATGGAAATAGTTTAAAGCCTGTAAAAGAATATAGGTGACCATACTACTGCCAGGCATAGGTCTCAGCCTCATAAAGTGTAATGCAAGATAAATTACTGGCGGAAAACTATCTGTACATACCGTTTTTGTTTGATCAATATATTTTACGGTTCAAAAATCTCTTAAGCGATTGATTTGAAATTCGGCACTGTTATAACAAGCATTTCCGGGAAGGTTTTGCTAATTTATGAACATAGTTAATTAAAGTATGCTACACGCGAATTGTTTCAGTTGTAAAATGGTCGAATTCCATATATTCAGCGTTAGTAACAATAATTTTACTTACATATTATATTTTCTTTATTATCTTCGTATTTCCCCCAGTTTTCGTGATTCTTATAGACATTGAAAACAAACAGTTTAATCTCGGATATCATTTTAATAATACTGTAGTACTTGTAGTACTGTAGAACGTCTTGAGTCCGCACAGGTAGGTACCACCACCTTGACAATTTCTACCGTGAAGCAGTAATGCGTTTCGGTTTGAAGAATGGGGCAGCCGTTGTACGGTAAAAACTGAGACCTTAGAGCTTATGGCTCGAGATGGGTGGCAGCGTTTATGTTGTAGATCTCACGGAATAGATAAATAAGGTAACCTTATTAATAAATAGATAAATAAGGTAACCTTATTTATCTATTCCGTGGTAGATCTATAAGTTCCGGTAACCACTTAACATCAGGAGGGCCGTGAGCTCGTCCACCCATTTAAGCAATAAAATATTAAATGCAACAACGTAGAATGTTGACACAGGACAACAAGTCAAGATTGTGTCCAAAAAGTGTTTTGAATGCAGTGGCCGGATTAGGGCGTGAGAAAGATCTTTTACGGCTGATTACCGAGTTGACGTGTACGCCCACACATGCCTACGTAACGTTGAGCGCATGCAAGTAACGTCCGTGGCCTAATGAGTAAGATGTGTGTAAGATGGTCTATGAGTATTGCTTTGGTCTTGTATCTAACCGGTTAGAGTTCATGCGTTCACGTCGAAAATCAACTCTATTGTTGGCTCAATTTCGCGTTTTTATTTGTCATGTTCACGCTTCAGTGATGATCGTCGTAGTACCATCATCATACCTTTAGAATTTTAATCCAAAATTCTTCTTTTTTGATAAACGCCAAAAATATTATTAAAAGAATGTAGGATTGGTAAGAACGGAACGTATGAAAAGAGTGTGAAACGGAGCGTTAAGATGTGAGTGAGAGAAAACGGAAAGAAAGGGAGAAGAGAATGACAGACAGAATGACAGAGAAAAGGAAGATGGCGAAGACGGTTAAAAAACGAGCAAGGCGTAATAAAAGTGTTAATTGATTTTTAATTATTATTATAACAGAAGATTTTGGAACAGTGGAAGTTTTATTTTATGCGCTGCGATCCCTATTCTACAGTAATGTTATTTTTTTGTTTTGATTTTAATACTTTTTAGCCTTAAAGCGCAAAACTTTAAAGTTTAAGATATGCGCTTGATTCAAAAGAGATGGAAAGTATACTATGTCGTTTGCTAACTAAAATTTTAATTTAAAATATTTAATTGTATCGACTGATAGAACACATGTTTATAAATTGTTCAAAGCTAGCTTTTTCTTAAACTAATTTATTTTAAATTTTATATGAAATCTTGCACCTTTAGAATTGAAATGGCTCAACTAAAAATTTTAAGGAAATGAGTTTTATACTCTTTGAAATCAAGCGCTTACCTTAAATTATTATAAACGATTCTTTCATTACATTTTTGGCGTTTCCCAAAAAAGAAGATTTTTGATTTAAGCCAATACAATTCTAAAGGTGTGATATATCATCGTGGTGTATCAACAACTGCTTAATTTTATACGTTTATCGATCGTCACAGCGAATGAACTGAACTTATTATTAGGTTACAAAAAACGAAGTCTTATTTATCAGACCATTAAGCAGTAATAAAGCACTCAATTCATCATTGTGAACAGAAATGCCACAGCTAATTCGACGACAGAAGCACAATCGTGCTTGTAAAGCTTTTGTGCATTGTCACGGACCGTGCGAAAAATCCTTTTACATTTGATTGTAATTCAGCAGATTTCAAAAATTGACGCAATATTTTTTTTTTATTGCTTAGATGGGTGGACGAGCTCACAGCCCACCTGGTGTTAAGTGGTTACTGGAGCCCGTATACATCACGCAAATGCGCCACCCACCTTGAGATATAAGGTCTCAAGTATAGTTACAACGGCTGCCTCACCCTTCAAACCGAAACGCATTACTGCTTCACGGCAGAAATAGGTAAGGTGGTGGTACCCACCCGCGCGAACTCACAAGAGGTTCTACCACCAGTAATGTATGACGACATTTTGGCAAATTACCTGAAAAATATCATCGGAACGTACATATAAGTATCTATCTAGTTTATTATATTACATTTTCACAAACAACTTTTTCTCTTATTTTCATGGAAAAATTACCATGACCCACATAAATTAATAAAAATGGCCTCACAGAAGATTCAATTTAGATTCAGCTGCTTAAGGCTAACCGGTCAACAAACAAGTTCATGGCCACGTGGTTACTGGAGTTCATGTGCATCAAAAGTGAATTTTGTCGCCCACTTTTTTTTCCTATCTCTGTTGATAGCCTTGAGCGGCTAATTCAGTTTCGCCTTGACGTGTAGGTGAGCTCACGGGGTTCAAACCGGACGTGTTACTAACACTGGCCCTAGCAAGAGCAATGCGGTGCAGAATCTACCACCGGATCGGAAACGCGACCCGTTGAGAAGATCCGGCGTGAAACTCAGTGGGCTTTGTCTATGGGTTTATTTACTCGTCGAGCCCTTCGTCGCAAGCGACGGGTTCGGCGAGGACGGTGCTTGAGGTACCTAAAAGCACCGTTAATGGATCGGGAGGATCCGTAATAACGTGTTTAGGGTGACAGTCGCCCATTTTAACGTGACTTTGAAGTCCGAAATACATTCAAACTATCTACAACTATTCTACCAGTCAAACCGGCGGCGCGGAAACTGAAACAGCACATTCGCGGGAAACGGCTCATGCGTCATAACTAAGAAACTTTCTAAGCGGAAATATTTTAATGTTAAAGCAACATTGACCTTAAACTTAGTTTTAATTACGCGCTCGTGAAAACTTCCGTGTGAACTGCATTTTAACTTGAAAAGAAAGTGCCCTTTTTAATGACAAGCGAAGACATAACAGTTGTTAAAAAAAAAACCGACCCAAGCACACGCAATACACTTATTCTGGTAGGCAGCGGCTTGGCTCTGCCCCTGGCATTGCTGACGTCAATGAGCGACGGTGACCACTTACCATCAGGTTAGCCGTATGCTCGTCTGCCTACAAAGGGAATAAAAAAAAATCTTCTTCTTCTTTCCAGCGTTTTCATCAGGGTTCGCTTTCCTACTAAAACTCCTCTAAACATAAACTTCACGCGATACACTACAAAAACAAAATAAAAAAATGAATTGATACATTCCAACATCGATAGTTGCGTTTCATAAAGATTCGAATTACAAAATTTATGCATCATCATATCAAGAATAAAAACGGTAATCTTCGCATTCGAAGACACTAGAACGTTCGCAATACGACGACCGTTCCCAGCGAACGACGCAACCTCGCATTTACTTACATAATGCAATTGCAAAACAGCAATCGTTCTAAACAACACTCGCACTAGCGGTCTGCTAGTGATAACTGGCGACGCGACAAAAAATCATCTATCGAAACCGTACCTTAAATCCTTGAAGGGCCCATATTATTGACTGCACGTAGCCGATCTTGAGCATTCCGACAGACGAGCGTGCGCTAAAATCACCAGTGAAGGAAGTAAACGCAAAAGAAGATTAAATGAACTATGGCTTGCTATGAACAGTTATCGATTTTAGTGCTGTGCATTTGTTTACACCGTTCTCTACAGTTGATTCCGTTGCGTGAGTATCATTCAATTAACTTTGCGAGCGTCAATCAAATATATATTTCGTCGGTTCCCAAACGCGGGTAAGTGTAAAAACTTGACGTACAAATCTAACAACAACGACCTCAAAGATCGAGATATTTTTAATACCATTTTTCCAATCATAATAATAATACTCATAGTAATAACAGTTGTACTAAATTTCATCAATTCTGCAATACAGTTGTATTGACATAGATAAAACATTTAAATTCAAAAAATGAAACATCATAAAATCACATTTATTTTATACAGCCATAAAATCGATTTACAGTTTTCGTGGTCACAGTAAACTGTCTATGAAAATCGTCTAGGGCTGAAGAAGAAAAAAAACCAAATGTTTTACTAATTTAACACTGGTAACATTTCAATAATTTAATCGACTTGTTGGTCCTGTGGTAGGTACATGTTACTGTGAATAGTGATTTAGGAACAACTTTTTACTGGTGGTAGGACCTCTTGTGAGTCCGGGTAGGTACCACCACCCTGCCTATTTCTGCCGTGAAGCGGTAATGCGTTTCGGTTTGAAGGGTGGGGCAGACGTTGTAACTATACTGAGACCTTAGAACTTATATCCCAGGGTGGGTGGCGCATTTACGTTGTAGATGTCTATGGGCTCCAGTAACCACTTAACACCAGGTGGGCTGTGAGCTCTTCCACCTATCAAAGCAATAAAAATAAAATACAAAAAACCTAATAATATCAAATTGCCATTGTCTTCTTAGCGGAATACATACATCCTTGCGCTGAGCTGAGCGACGAGTGCTTCACCAAAGCGACCCTCGATGCCATACCAGGGATAGTCAAGGGCATCCCTGAGGCTGGGATCCCGCCCTTAGATCCCTTATACTTGGACAAAAACATCAGTATTGTTCTACCGGGCAATTTGAGGATGACCTTTCACAATGCAAAACTCGTTGGACTGAGTTCGTGTGTGCCAGATAAAGTGTCGTAAGTTTTTCTGGTATTGTTTTAGTTCTTATAAGCCATTTTATGGTTCACCTGATGGATAATGGGCGTTGCCCGTGGATATTAGAGACACGTGACCTCCAATATCCCGAACCAATAACGAAGTTGCCCACCTACCTGGAAACACAAATGGTAATAGCCATTATCTTGGTCTCCGAAGCGGTCTTTGATATGCGGCATCATAGCATGCTCCACTCAATTGCTGAAAGTTCAAAACAGAAAAGTTCATTACTGCTTCCATCTAAACCAAATGCTGCACAATTACCTAATTAGTATCTATTATATTAGTATTTCTCCCGTGAAGCAGTAATGCATTTCGGTTTGAAGGGCGAGGCAGCCGTTGTAACTATACTGAGACCTTAGAACTAATATCTCAAGGTGGGTGGTGGCATTGTAGATGTCTATAGGGCCCAGTATCCACTTAACACCAGGTGGGCCGTGAGCTCGTCCAATTATCAAAGCAATAAAAAAAAGTTAAGATGCTTATAAGCTTCGGCTCTTTCGAACTTTGATCTGAAAGCTTTATTTAAATAAATTTACTGTTCGTTTATTTATTTAAGTAGCTGCGAATACCTCCAAACTGTCAGGTATATGCAACTATTACTAATATCAGATGTAGGACAGAAAAGTCCGGCTTGGAGACTTTTAATGTAAATATTTTAATTAACAGATGTATTATACATAGCTTGACTTATAACAAATAAAGGAACGGGATTTTTCAACGCAATCAAAGACATTAATTTGATTACTCTGGCCGAATAACCAGACTAATATCATAAAAATGAAAAGGATGATTTTATTTTCTAGTTTGGTTTATTATTAAATTTAATAATGTTTGGTTTGTTTTTCTTAGTTTTAAACGACTTACAAATCTATCTATCTATCTTCTATCTATATATGTATATAAAATGAATTGCTGTTCGTTAGTCTCGCTAAAACTCAGAACGGCTGGACCGATTTGGCTAATTTTGGTCTTGAATTATTTATGGAAGTCCAGACAAGGTTCAAAAGGTAGATAAATATGAAAATGCTCGGAATTAAATAAAAAATAACAATTTTGTTTTCCCTTTGATGTGTCCCCCGTCGGACGAATTCCTTTTGTTTGTTTTAAGTTTTATTTTATATAAAAGTTTAGGTCTTTTATTTATCGATTGAGGCACTACGAAGTCTGCCGGGTCAGCTAGTACTATTATAATTATTTTCGTTTAGCTTATTTCGAACATATGAATGTAATTCTGCGACCTTGTACATTGAACCGTCTAATCACTAACACTCAATCATGTACCACCATCAAAATATTTAAAGTCAAACAAAGCAAAAAAAACCTTCCGACCGAATAAATATTAGTACTACATATTTTGTGGACGCGAATAATTATTAACTTGTCAAAGATTGCAAAATCAAGCACACGAACGCACTCATTGCACCTAATAGGTTTCGAAATACCTCAGGGCCATTGACGGAGTGAAGGAAAACTCATGTTGTTTGTGACAGACTTATTATGAGGCTTTTAGTAACCAACGAATATGCCTCTTCAAATATTAAGCTGGAAGTTTGGCTATTAAAAGACGAAAATGAATAGTTAGAGAGTTATTTAGATACATTACACAAAATAAATGCCACCAGACACCGCTTACTGCCATTGTAGGTAGACTTACATACGGCCCAGACGGTGAACGGTTACCATTACCCATGGACGTCAGCAATGCCATGGGCACAGCTAAGTCGTTGCCTAACAAAAACCGTAATCAAACATTTCACTAAAGGCGTTAAGTTTAAAACATTTACTTACAAGTCCTTGAGGATCCATCAGATCCAATAACCCTTTCATTAGACGCCTTTAGCTCTAACACTAGGAGTGGGGACCCGGTAAACGTACTCGTCGAAAAAAGAGTTCGACGTGCAACCTAACCTAAACATCAGCCCGCTGAGCTTCTCGACGGATCTTCTCAGCGGGTCGCGATTCCGATCCGGTAGTAGATTCATTCGCGAAGTAGCTACTCTTGAGTTATTAGGTCTCCTTTGGAGGCGCTCGGGTAGTTATTAGCAAATCCCACCCCTCCTGGCTGAGCCCTTGCTCGCCCATCTGTCCTGGTAAAATTGTAAAAGCTTCCGGGCCACCAGTAACCTTTCAAACATAAAAAAAAACAATTACTCGTTAATAAAGGCTATTATAAAGACTGCTATAATAAAGACTACGTTAAAATTTACGAACGCGGCCACTGTATGCAATCCTTTCGTAGTGCATGCGATATTGTTGGGGATGGTTTTCCAATAACCATCAAACAGTGTGAGTGCATTTTATGGCCTCGTAAAGAAGTTCATACGTCGCATTACTCAACCATTAAACTTGTCTCTCAACTAAGGTACCTTTTATAATCATATATTGGAAAGAATTACGAGTATATAAAGTTGATATGAAAACTCTGAGTGAACTTTGACTCAGCGAGTGAACTTTACTGGTGGTAGGACCTCTAGTGAGTCCGCACGAATAGGTACCAATACCCTGCCTGTTTCTGCCGTGAAGCAGTAATTCGTTTCGGTTTGAAGGGTGGAGCAGCCGTTGTAACTATACTGAGACCTTAGAACTTATATCTCAAGGTGGGTGGCGCATTTACGTTCTAGACGTCTATGGGCTCCAGTAATCACTTCACACCAGGTAAGCTGTGAGCTCGTCCACCCAACTAAGCAATAAAAAAAAAACACTGAAGGCACCAGTGGCGGATTTGCAGTCTTGGCCGCCCTAGACTCCAGGCTACGTAGTAATAATAATATAGTATATTTTATATATAAAAAAGTACAAAAATCATTTAGGAAGATTATTGTTATACGATGCGGTGCAGTGCGGCCCACCATAATGTGCGCGAACCTTTAGAATAATTGCGTACTTTAAGTTATTTCTTGTTATCATTATTGAATTTTATGTCACGATTGACCGCCCCTAACATCTGGAGGCTCTAGGCCCGGCCTCCTGGGCCTTAGGGCAAATCCGCCACTGGAAGGCACGCTATGATAATCTACACTATTCTACACCATCTTTGAACTAAACCTTTTGAATACAGTTCTCTTCGCGACAAACGCTTGTTTATATTTGACATGCACTGCAATTTCACCATACGCGGAGTCTACAGTCTGCTCGGAAGGCTGCTATTGTTCAATCTTGACACTGAAGGGGGAGCTAAGGTTAAAATCTGTGAGTTCTTTTGCAATCAATTCTTAAGTACATATCGTCTTCTCGCATTAAAACTGTATAATCTGAAAACTTACTAATTTTACAGAAGAATGTTTTAAAAGTTGAAAACATGTGATATTTTTAATATTAATTATCTTTGCACACATTATTTTTTTTATTTTTTACCAGTTACATTATCTTTCTTTTAAAGTAAGATAAAACTATGTATTTTTTTTTTAATAATAGTAAAAAAAACTCAAAACATAGGTAAACTAAAAAACTAAAACTAAACTACGCTCTTTTGACAGTATTTATGAGAAAAATACTAGTGATACTAAATTTTAATGATTCCGCACATTGACTCAATTTCGAATATTTTTGGAAATGTTACACTTTTAATGCGAAAAGACGATATGTAGTTCAGTTTGTTTGTTGTGAATGTATTTGAATGACCACATTGAATTGGTGATAGATCGTGTGTTAAGCGAATATGTCGCACCAGTTCAGCAAAGCAGTAAAACGCTATGATTTAAAGCCGACTTCTACCTATTCTCTCAAAAGTGCTTATGTCAGCTTTGTTACGCTTAAAAGCTAAGGCAGCTACTTAACACCTGCTAAGTCGAGAGAACGCCTGCCCATTCGTAACAAAAGACACAAATACCAAGATGAATTTAGGCATTTCCATCTTTTTTTTTATTGCCCTTGTAGGCAGACGAGCATACGGCCCACCTGATGGTGAGTGGTTACCGTCGCCCATGGACTTTAGCAATGCCAGGGGCAGAGCCAAGCCGCTGCCATCTATACTATATTAACATTATAAAGCTGAAGAATTTGTTTGTTTGAACGCATTAATCTCAGGAACTACTGGTCCGATTTGAAAAATTCTTTCAGTGTTAGATAACCCATTTATTGAGGAAGGCATATATGTACTTATATAGGCATATACTTATATAACATCACGATAAGATAAGAGCAACAATAAAGAATGCTTCAAAATCGGGGTCTTTCCCTTTTGAGAGCTTCTGCTGCATGCGCTGCAGAAACGGTTAAAGTTTCGCTAAAATAAAATTTAGCGTTATGCCAAAGTAACTATTCCACGCGGACGAAATCGCGGGCAAAAGCTAGTATATGTATAAGACATGCTACCGAACGTGGTAATAGTTATTTATGAAGCTGCAAATTGTAGACACCGCACCTGTGTAAGTATCCAGTGACTTCAAGAAACCTGTTTTACATTTTCGTCCCGCGATTTTGTATTTGTTACAGGGAACCAACACATTCGTTTAGAGGTCGCTGAAAGGGTTGTGATCAATGAAGAAGGCGAGGGGCATTACAAGATCAACTCATACAAATACAAGGCAGATTACGGCACCGATCTCAAACTGAACTTGACGAACTTAATTCGAGGGAATCCTGAAATAAGTAAGCCAATAAAACATAAGATGGCTGTAAGCCAAAGAATAATAAGATACATAAAAATCACCGAAATAATATTTCAATGATTAACTATACCTGAATAAGAATTAAATGTACTCCCTCGAGAATAGTACTCTCTTACTAGATAAAACGGATAAAACACGGGTAGGTACCACCATCTTGCCTATTTCTGCCGTGAAGCAGTAATGCGTTTGCGTTAAGGGCGGGGCAGTCGTTATAACTATACTGAGACCTTAGAACTTATATCTCAAGGTTGAGACCTTAGAACTTATATCTCAAGGTGGGTGGCGCATTTACGTTATAGATTTCCAGGGGCTCCAGTAACCACTAAAAACCAGGTGGGCTGTGAGCTCGTCCACCCATTTAAGCAATAAAAAAAAAAGGTAGTCTATCTTATTATCGGTACCTTGATACAAAATTCCACGATGATCATATGAGTAGTTAAAATGTAGAAGCATGATAAAAAACCAATATCATTTTCGCATTTATTTATTAAAAAAATATAACGAGTTTTATGAAACGCAGCGTCATTATTATTTTTTTGTTTTTATTCCTTATATGTGTGGACGAGCTCACAGCCCACCTGGTGTTAAGTGGTTACTGGAGCCCATAGACATCTACAGCGTAAATTTGCCACACGCCTTGAGATATAGTTCTAAGGTCTCAGTATAGTCACAACGGCTGCCCCACCCTTCAAACCGAAACGCATTACTGCTTCACGGCAGAAATAGGCGGGGCGGTGGTAGCTACCCGTGCGGACTCACAAGAGGTCCTACCAACAGTAATGAAGAACTATTGAATTAAAAATTGTAAATAAGAAACATTTAAAGAAATAATCCCAAACTTCATCCAACTACTTTAAATTGAGAGTTTACTATTCTATTATTCCTTAATGATATATTTATATCGCTATGAATTTTATACACTTTATACTTTTTCTTCTGTGTAATGAGTGCTGCAAAAACACGAGACGTGAGCAAGTCTAGAAGGACTATGAAATTCAAATATCCTTAACTCAGGAATGCATTGAGGAATTGTTTGAAATGTTTCCATTTTACTGTCGCACGACATTAATGTAATATTTTCTTTAGGTGCGAACATTTTGAAAGTCTTAAACTCAGACTCGCAAGCGTTCGCTCAAGAATTCGGCGGCCCAATCCTTGATTACGCGATAGACTACGCCATGAACGTAACGCAGCGATTCTTCGACGCATTCACATACGACCAGCTGACGCAAGTTCCGTTAACAGATGACTTCTTCGAGAAAGAATAAAACAAATAAATAGCAATTATAAACGTTTTTTATTTTTAAATCGAACATTGAAACTGTTAATTTACCACCTGAAACGCAATTTTTTTTTGTTGCCCTTGTAGGCATAGGAGCATACGGCCCACCTGATGGTGAGTGGTTACCATCGCCCATGGAGATCAACAATGCCAGGAGTAGAACCAAGCCGCTGCCTACCGTTGAGTACTCTCCACAGGCCTCGTTTGAAGAAGGACAAGTCATAGCGCTCGGGAAACACCGTGGAGGGGAGCTCATTCTAAAGCCGGATGGTACGTAGCAAAGACTAACTAACTGAATTACAACACAATACCATAGTGCTGCCTTGAATCAAATGTGATTTTCATTTATGGTCGAATAACCATTACATCACGTACAAACCAAGACCACGCAGCGAAGGTACGGGCGGCCAAAGAAAGAAAAAAATAAACATTGCATTTCATTGAAAAAACTCTTTACACCCTGTGTATAGGAGAGTCGAAACTCATTAAACAACACGAGAATAAGGTCATAACATTGAACAAAAATATTGCGACGGAGGCCGTATTGCAAGAAGAAAGGTTGCAAAGTAATGAGAACTAGAGGTCCTGCAGTAGTCGAAATTCGACTATAATTAATTGGAATTGTAAGTTTGTACACTATTATGATTGTATTTCATACTTCTATAATCACAAATTTCGCCAAGACTGCACTATAAAAAATATTAACAAAGACAAACAATATTTAATCTATTCTCAATTTGACAACAGACGTCAAGAACAAAAGTTCGACAATAACTATTATGCATGCATGTGTGCGTCAAATACATGGTATGTAGTGTGTGTAGCGTTTTCTTTATTGATTTAATGTATCTTTTATGCATTATTTAAAAAAAATATTAGCATTGTGCACTTCTTCTCTATATTTTCTATAAGTGTGGAAAATTTCATACTCCTCCGTCCGCGCAATTTTCGTAAAAAGGGATACAAAGTTTTTGCTTCACGTATTAATATATAGATGGTTGATGTAATCAATACTAGAGGTATTCGCAATTTGTGTAATACATCATTTATGGTTATATATACTTGGACAAAATATCTCACATAGGTTTTATGGAATTTTGCGGACTTACCTACCTTATAAATCTATACATGTAAATAAAATTGGAGTGTCTGTTTGTAATATATATAACCGCTTTTTACTACATGCATATGAATATATATTATATGGTATATACACCAAAATACAAATTACAATTTTTGTCGGTCTATCTGTCTGTTTGTTCCGGCTATTTTCTGGAACGGCTGGATCAATTTTGACGAGACTCACTGATAGGTAGTTGACGATATTTTATAAGGAGTAACTTAGGCTACTTTTTTTAGACTAGCTTCGCCCCCCGTTAATTTAATGTTTTCGAAGCGAAGTGAGAGCGGGTCGCTAATATTATATAAGCATACGAGACATAAAATCAGTTTTTCAATTACATATTTTTTTAAGTTACATGTTTACGAAGCAACTATTATTTTCGGTCCAGTTAGAAATTCGATTTAAATGAAAATTTAACATCGAATTAGAACAGCCATGCATTTTCAAATGTAAAAATGATGTAAATATTAAAATTTGAATTTGTGATTTTTGCTTTAGAATAAAGTTCGAAGGATAATGTCTGCGCGATTGCCGTAGAGGAAGAGTCACGCGACGGAAACTCCTGTTGTTTTGACAGTAGTATCTAATCTAATATATAAATCTGCAGTGGTTTTTACGGATGTTCCGTTATAACTACTGAACCATGCATCCGATTGACTTGAAACTTGGTATCCATGTAGAAAATACATGTACTTAATGGATAGGCTAATATTTATATGAGTGTAGGACTCCCTACACCAGTTGCGGGGGCGTTAATGATGAGAATCTTTGTGGGGGTGAGAAATAATAATGTTAATTTTAAATGCCCAGCGAAGCGGATGGGTACAGCTAGTCTATTATAAGCACGTTTAAATTATAGTCTGTGCATTTCAGATTTCGACCTCTTGCTTCAAGATCGGTTCGATATTCATTTTGTAGAGGTTGCAGTTATTACGATTTTATAATAAACTAGCTGTACCCGTCCGCTTTGCTGGGCATTTAAAATTAACAATATTATTTCTCACCCTCACAAAGATTCTCATCATTAACGCCCCCGTAACTGATGTTTTTTTTTTTTTTTTTTATGATTGAAAGTTTACTGGTGGCCCGAAGGCCTTTCCAGTTTCACCAGGACAGGTGGGCGAGCAAAGGCNTGAACACAGGTGGCAATGCGGCGCGATTACTACAGGACAAAGAAAAAGCACAACAAAACAGAAATTACGAAAAGAAACAAAACAAATAAATACTTGCAGGAAACCACTTTGTCGGCAGATGTACCACGAACACAGAAACAACAAAAGGAAACAAAACAAATAAAAACTTCCAGAAGGAGCACTTAGTCGGCAGATGTACCACGAACACAGGCCGCGCGAACAATGGCCGGGCTAACAAAAGCCGGGCGAACAAAGACCGGGCGATTGAGTGGACGATGAGCACGTCCGCACGTGACGGGTGCCTCTATCGGAATGGTAACTGATGTACGGAGTCCAACACTCATACAAATATTAGCCTATCCATTAAGTACATGTATTTTCTACATGGATACCAAGTTTCAAGTCAATCGGGTGCATGGTTCAGTAGTTATAACGGAACATCCGTAAAGACCACTGTAGATTTATATATTAGTATAGAAAAAAAAAAAAAACATTCAATGCCTAATATAACTGATGGGACATCCGTTATACTCTTCGTGTATACTGCTTATGTAAGGAACATTGTACAAATTCAGCCCTTTTCTTGCTTAGTCGTGCGCACATGGCTTATGTTGCAAGCCAGATTTTGTTTCTTTTTACTCTAATAAATAAATGAAATAAAATAAAAAATAAATCTAATCCCGTATTTTGCTAGTCGGGTATCGATTTTTGTCGACAAACGATTTCAAATTAAAAGCGTGTAGTTAATATGAATCCAACTTGTAGAATTTATTAATTTGTTTAGTCATCAAGGGAATGGAGGTTATTAGGACTAATCACGCGTAGCCCCGCCCGCCGTACTCATTCTTCCCCGAATCATTATTGTTTTGCTGTCTGAAGGTGGGTCAGTCGCCATAAAACGCAGTGGCTACTTTAACCTCATTTCCTGACTTTAGTGAAGGCATTTGCATTATGTCGTGATATGTGTATGGATTCTAATAAGACATGAGTACGTAATAAACCCGGCCATCCTACAATCTCCAATTAAGTAATCACAAAACAAAAAGTAGACCTTAATAGTTTGACACTCATAAAAATAATAAATCGAAACAAAAGAAGTCACTTAGGAAAGCTGCAAAGTAATTCTCGAATTTTGGGTATGAATATAATGAAAAATCGAGAAACAAATACGAATTAGTAAATATTGAACTTGTTTTAACATTTAATACAAAAAATAGTAGCGTTAAGAATAATTGATACTAGATAACTTGGGAATAAACTTCGAAAACTAAAATCAAAACAAAATTTTCAAGAAACTACAGGGCATTACAACTAACTTCAAGACTCTTAAAAAAATAGTTCAGAAAACAAAAAAAAAGTTATTAGCATCAATCTTTATTATTACCGCCATTTAATCAAGCTATTCATTTGTACTAGGCTGCACTAAAAGTATCGGGAATGGAATATTTTCACTGTTCCTGTCATATTAAAATCTTTTTAATTGAAAGCTCCTTGGTTTTAAAAATCGAAAACCATTTATTTAAAAAAAGATTCTCGGTCTTGTCACGAGGTTTTGTCAAACTTGTTTAGTCGTTGAGAAAATGGAATTGACTCAAGAAAATTCAAGAGCGATGATTTATTATGACTTTCGAAGTGGTTTAACACAAAAACAGTGTGTTGACCGGATGATTTCTGCATTTGGTGATGAAGCCCCATCCAAAACCACAATTTACCGCTGGTTTGCTGAGTTTCAACGTGGACGTGTCAAGCTCAGTGATGATCCCCGTCAAAGTCGTCCAAAAACTGCAGTCACCCAAGAAAACGTTGATGAGAGCAAAAAGCGGCTCGCGTTACTTGGTGCGTCAGAACTCTCGAAAGATTCCACGCAGGATCCTCAAATGCTGTATACAACATTGTATCAGGTGACGAATCCTGGATATACGCGTACGAACCCGAAACAAAAAACCAGTCACGAGTTTGGGTGTTCGAAAATGAGTTAAAGCCAACAAAAATTGTTCGTTCACGGAGTGTTGCAAAAAAAATGGTGGCCACGTTTGTCTCCAAAACCGGCCATGTTACGACTATTCCTCTTGAGGGACAAAGAACGGTTAATGCAGAATGGTATGCTAGCATTTGTTTGCCACAGGTCGTTTCTGAACTCCGTAAAGAGAACTGCAACCGCCGCATCATCCTCCATCACGACAATGCGAGTTCTCACACCGCGCACAGAACAAAACAGTTTTTAGAGCAAGAAAACATAGAATTATTAGACCATCCGCCGTACAGCCCCGACCTAAGCCCTAATGATTTCTATACTTTCCCTAAAATAAAGAATAAATTGCGTGGACAGAGATTTTCATCACCTGAAGAAGCTGTGGATGCCTACAAAACGGCCATTTTGGAGACCCCAACTTCCGAATGGAATGGTTGCTTCAATGATTGGTTCCATCGTATGGAAAAATGTGTCAAATTTCGCGGAGAATACTTCGAAAAGCAATAAATACATTTTTAAATAGTAATGTTGTGTCACTTCGTTAATTCCCGAAATTTTCAGTGCCGCCCTCGTAATGTTATTGTTATATAGCACTGAACAAAGAGGGTCACCGTCCTCGTCGAACCCGTCGCTTGCGACGAAGGGCTCGTCGAGTAAATTAACCCACAGACACAGTCCACTGAGTTTCTGGCCAGATCTTCTCAGTGGGTCGCGTTTCGGATCCGGTGATAGATTCTACGAAGCACTGCTCTTGCTAGGGCCAGTGTTAGCAACACT